CCGTCACCTACGAGACCTGCTGGGGCTACTACGACGTGAGCGGCCAGTACGACAAGGAGTTCGAGTGCAACAACAGCGAGAGCGGCTACCTGTACTGCTGCGGCACCTGCTACTACCGCTTCTGCTGCAAGAAGCGCCACGAGAAGCTGGACCAGCGCCAGTGCAACAACTACCAGAGCCCCGTGTGGGTGCAGACGCCCAGCACCAGGGTGGTGTCGCCGGGGCCCGAGAACAAGTACGACCCCGAGAAGGACAAGACCAACTTCACCGTCTACATCACCTGCGGGGTGATCGCCTTCGTCATCGTGGCCGGCGTCTTCGCCAAGGTCTCCTACGACAAGGCCCACCGCCCTCCGCGGGAGATGAACATCCACAGGTGAGAGCTGCCCCGCGCCCCCGGGCGCCCGCGGCCGCGCCCCTCGCAGCGCGCTCCGGGCCTCCCGCGCCTCTCCTCGCTCTACAGCCGGGAGTCCCCACCCTTGTCTCCTTGACATGGGATAGATAGATCGGCGCCTCCCCTGCTGGGGCTGGCGGGGAGATTTACAAGGCAAAGTAAGGCTGGGTGGCTTCCGTGCAGTTTGGGTGTAAGAATTTTACAGATTCTGTAATCCTGGATGGGGGTCCAGGTTCAGTTTTTATGGCGTGTGGGCACTTTGGTGGAGGCTCTTAATACGTTTGGTTTTCTGATCAAACTGTAGCATCGTCTTCAAATAAAGGAAACTGAGCAATGTTGGAACCTTACAGACAGGAGTGCCGGGTGACTTAGTGTAAACTGGGTGGTGTTGGACATGGGTGCCTCAGAGGAAGGATGCCTCCTGGGGGAAGAGGGAATAAAGATTCATCCATTCCGCGCTGACCAGGGCAGATGGTGTCTTCTCGCGCATCCTGCCGAGTGGGCTGCTCGCCTTTCGTGCTGAGCCTGGAGGACTTGTTCTTTTAAACCCTGTGGGCAGAACTCTCTGAGTTAACATTTCTTGCTGTGCTAAACCTGCTGGGCATCTTTCACTGCTTACAATTGGGAGGGGATGGGGGCCGCCTCCTACCAGAACTTATGCCAGGAGCTCAAAATGTGGTAGGTAGTCCATGGTTTCGCCCTGAGTGCCTCCCACCCCACCTCTCCAGCTCTCAGTGAGCCCCTTGGGAAGCCAAAGCCCAGAGAACGGGGAAGGCAGCCTCTTTTTACAACTCTAAGAACATATCACCCAGGGGATATAAACTTCATTTTGCTTCCAGTTCCCTCTTGATGATGAATGGCTCGATGTGGTCCAACAGAGTCCTTTCAGGGAGCAAACCCTGCCCTAGGAAATTCCTCCATTTTTGGCACATGGTGCGTGCGTGGCTGAGTAACCAGGACCACCCCTCAGACCAGCGCTGCTTCTGAATTTACCGAGCAGGCGCCCGGCCTGAGCCAGAGACCTTTAACTCATCTCGGCACTCCGCTTGCTATCCTTTTGTCCTGAAAACCTTCTTTCCTCACTGCTGTGGACATTAATCACCTGGACCTTGATGAAGAGAGAGAGGCAGATAGACATTTCTGGGCATAATTTTCCCCTCCTCAGTACTCTGGATGTTGAGAAAAGATGATGCTCCCTGACAGGTTTAATTGGGTCAAATCCTCAAAGTGTGGGCCCTTCTAGGAGTCCCGTGTATGACCCTCGCTCCTCACTGGAAGGGGCCACTGCCCTCCGTTCCACTCCCATCTTGTGTGAGTCTGTGTCCGGACTGGTCCTGGGAACTGACGGAGGAATTGTGACAAATGACCTGTGGTCAGCGCAGGTTTTCAAATGCAGAAGGCTGGTGGGATGGATGGCAAATCAAGCACCAGACACTTCTCCTTTGGGTCTTGTGGGATGAGGAATTCCATTTGCTCACCTTAGAAAGCAGAGAAGGGGGTTGCCTGTGGGCACGCACCTTCCNCGCCTCTCCTCGCTCTACAGCCGGGAGTCCCCACCCTTGTCTCCTTGACATGGGATAGATAGATCGGCGCCTCCCCTGCTGGGGCTGGCGGGGAGATTTACAAGGCAAAGTAAGGCTGGGTGGCTTCCGTGCAGTTTGGGTGTAAGAATTTTACAGATTCTGTAATCCTGGATGGGGGTCCAGGTTCAGTTTTTATGGCGTGTGGGCACTTTGGTGGAGGCTCTTAATACGTTTGGTTTTCTGATCAAACTGTAGCATCGTCTTCAAATAAAGGAAACTGAGCAATGTTGGAACCTTACAGACAGGAGTGCCGGGTGACTTAGTGTAAACTGGGTGGTGTTGGACATGGGTGCCTCAGAGGAAGGATGCCTCCTGGGGGAAGAGGGAATAAAGATTCATCCATTCCGCGCTGACCAGGGCAGATGGTGTCTTCTCGCGCATCCTGCCGAGTGGGCTGCTCGCCTTTCGTGCTGAGCCTGGAGGACTTGTTCTTTTAAACCCTGTGGGCAGAACTCTCTGAGTTAACATTTCTTGCTGTGCTAAACCTGCTGGGCATCTTTCACTGCTTACAATTGGGAGGGGATGGGGGCCGCCTCCTACCAGAACTTATGCCAGGAGCTCAAAATGTGGTAGGTAGTCCATGGTTTCGCCCTGAGTGCCTCCCACCCCACCTCTCCAGCTCTCAGTGAGCCCCTTGGGAAGCCAAAGCCCAGAGAACGGGGAAGGCAGCCTCTTTTTACAACTCTAAGAACATATCACCCAGGGGATATAAACTTCATTTTGCTTCCAGTTCCCTCTTGATGATGAATGGCTCGATGTGGTCCAACAGAGTCCTTTCAGGGAGCAAACCCTGCCCTAGGAAATTCCTCCATTTTTGGCACATGGTGCGTGCGTGGCTGAGTAACCAGGACCACCCCTCAGACCAGCGCTGCTTCTGAATTTACCGAGCAGGCGCCCGGCCTGAGCCAGAGACCTTTAACTCATCTCGGCACTCCGCTTGCTATCCTTTTGTCCTGAAAACCTTCTTTCCTCACTGCTGTGGACATTAATCACCTGGACCTTGATGAAGAGAGAGAGGCAGATAGACATTTCTGGGCATAATTTTCCCCTCCTCAGTACTCTGGATGTTGAGAAAAGATGATGCTCCCTGACAGGTTTAATTGGGTCAAATCCTCAAAGTGTGGGCCCTTCTAGGAGTCCCGTGTATGACCCTCGCTCCTCACTGGAAGGGGCCACTGCCCTCCGTTCCACTCCCATCTTGTGTGAGTCTGTGTCCGGACTGGTCCTGGGAACTGACGGAGGAATTGTGACAAATGACCTGTGGTCAGCGCAGGTTTTCAAATGCAGAAGGCTGGTGGGATGGATGGCAAATCAAGCACCAGACACTTCTCCTTTGGGTCTTGTGGGATGAGGAATTCCATTTGCTCACCTTAGAAAGCAGAGAAGGGGGTTGCCTGTGGGCACGCACCTTCCTGGAGCAGATGTACCCCGTCCGTGTCATCTCTCTGTCTCTGCTTCCAGCCCCAGAGGGTTGTCTCCTTTCACCTTCTCTTTTGGCCCTGGCTTCTTATCACACCTTCCACTCTGGCTTATGGCCTTCTGGTCGATTCCACAAACCTTTGTTCTCTGCTCTCTTAGGGAGAGTTGCCTCCTGCCCTGACCTTGCCACCTCCTACTGAGTTTATTTATCATCACCTAGAAGGGTACGGATGGTGTTCGGATGTTAGTGTTGGCCTACGTTCTACTGGATTGTGACCCTGGAGATGTCACTGGCTCTCGGTGTTTTCTGCTCTCCCTATTACACTGATCTCCTTCCCTCCCAAAACTAGGTAGGGTGTGTGGCATATGGCTCAGCGGTGATGCCTCTGGAGGCTGTTTCTCTCTGGGGTCTGGGAAGAGAGGTAACCATGGGAAAGGAGATGAATTTCAGCCCTCAGACCATTATGTAAATATGGGATGTTTCTCCCTCAAATTCAACTCCTGATTTTATTCAGTTCACAGCACCTCTCCCAGCAGCTGCAGTCTCGCCTGATCAGTGCTTTGGAAACCATCATATTGGTGCTTGTTAGGTAGGGGGCAATGCTTGTCTCTGTGTTTGGGGGGAAGGGAGACAAAGCATGAGATCCATCTAGGACACTTCATGATTGACCTTGGGGGTGGGGGTGGGGAAGGAGTTATTTTTCAGTTTTGGGTAAGTCAGGCTCAGCAGCATCTCGTCTCGATCTCTTCCCAGGGTGAGTGTGCACATTTCAGGGCTGCTCACTGACTCATGGGTGTGCATGTTACCACGGCTCGGCTCGCTTTGCTCACACCTCCGAGGTCACTGCTTGCTATTTCAGGGAGTTTATTGTGCAGAATGTCTTGCTGGGGAATTGGGGTGGGGAAAAGGAGAGTGTGAGGGGGAAAGAAGTAAATATTTACACTCCGATGAGTTTTCCCCAGGAGAACAGGGGTAAGAAAGAAAGTAGACTCTTCAGAGGGCAGTGGAGAGAGTGGGAAGTGCACTCACTTACATTTTCCTTGAACTAGTTCAACAGAGACATTTCCTTTCTGAAGAAGCAAGGGACTTATTCTTGTGTGATTCCCTGGAGGTGGTAGCTGGGCCAGCAAGGGCTGGAGAGGAGCCCCAACATCAACTGTGTGCCTCCTCCTGGGCCTCCCAGGCTGGCCAGCGCTCCTCTGCCCCTGCGCACGCCCTCCCTAGGTCAGGGCTACCTTTCACCCCTCCAGTCCCTTCAGGGAAGAACAGATTTCCACTTCTCCAGTAGTGATTAGGCGTTGCCACCCTGCTTCCATGGGAGAAGTCGGTGTCTGTAGGGGAAGCTGTCAGCTCTCTGGTGATTCTAACAAATGAGCACTGTCGCTCTGAGCAGAGAGGAGAAAGAGACAGGCAGAGGTACCCATGCTCTGGACCCAGGGAGCCACACCTGGAGAAACACAGGGCGCCCACCTTTCCCAACTGAAACCCTTTTCCACCAGCATCCCTGCCTTACCTTCTCCTTTTCACCTGCCCAGCTGAGGCTCAAGCTGATGGGCCTCAGGCATCCACCGATTTTAATGTTTCATGAGCAGCTTCTGCAATGCTTCCCTGGGGCTGTTTGTTCAGTGAGGGGCTGTTGATGTTTTCCAAAGGCAGGGGCTCAGTCCAGGAAATGCCCCAGGAGGAGACTGGCTCCCTTTTGATATTCAATTCCATACAGAAGTCTAGCATCCAAACCTGTTCCTTCCTTCTCACCCTGAGTTGATTCATTCGTTTCTTAGAGATGAGAATCATTCTGAGGCAGGAACTATGTGGCTTAAATAAAAAAAGGCTAATTAACAGATGGGTCAGGAAGCTGTTAGGATTCTTTAGATGCTGTCGGGGAAGGCAGAGCTGCCCTGGGTGCTCCCCCTGCCTGCAGTGATGGAGGGGATGGAGGAATTTGGGGGTGGGGGTGGAGAAGTGCTCAGGGCTGTGGG